GCGTACATCTGTGTTGGTAATAAAAATTGATAGATAAAAACGAACAAAATAAAGGCAAATATATTCGAAAGTAAAAATATATATTTTAGTTTTAGATAATGTATGAAAGAATTTTTTAATAAAATGAACCATTTGAATACGTTTGAATGAACGAATCGTTCGAGTACGTTTAACAAAAAATACGCTTGTCATTTTATGCTGCTGCTGATTGATCGTCACAAGATTGAGGATAAAATGGAATTATGTAGAAACGATTGATAAACTTAATTTTTAATATTTTGTTGCATTTCTGTTTGCATCTATTGTTTTCGAGCATTTAAGCGTATAGTCTGTTAATTTTTGTATCGTTAAATATAAAATTGGTGATTTTGGCGATGTTGAATATATTTTGGTGATTTCGAGTTTTACGTTCATCTTTACACCGATACGCTGTAATTGTTTGTAAATAAATATTGCGATTAAAATTTAAACGTTGTTCCGATCGCAAATGTTTAATTAATATCGATAATTTTAGAATATTACGTAACAACCATTTTTTTGACAACGTCTGATGAACGTTTTGGATGATTCTCCCCCGTGTAAACTACATGTAAATTTTCGAATGAAAATTTTATTAACATGCTTGTATTTAACATTTTAAGATATTAAGTTATTTCATTTTGTCTGTTGTAATTTCAATAAATTTTATATCGTCGATTTTACTTGCTGTCGTATATTCCGTTGTTGAACTTTCATGTTTTATATTTATCACAGAATCGTATTATTTTCGTTAAATTCTGTATTTGATTCGCTGTATAATAATTTTAATCGGAAAATTTTAAACGTTGTTCTAAAAATTTTAGTCCCAATTTTTTGACTCGATTCTGTTCGTTTTAGAGATACGTGATTTCTTTTTCGCTATTCCGCCGTATATGGATTTCTTTTATCGTGTAATTTTTCATAAATGTTATTTTTTTAATTCTTTATCGATTGTAATGTATTAGTTTCCCAATTGATTTCAATTTATCTAAATATATTACTCGTTATCTTTGGTTAAAACTTTTTTCAATCCACGTTCTATCTTTATGTTCGTTGTATGTTTGTAATCATTTTGTAATAATTTTTTTATGCGATAAAGTGGCTTCTGTCTATTACTTCTTATTTAAATTTATTATTCGAGGGATCTATCTTGACGATAATTTCGCCACTAATTTTTACATAGAAATGTCTTTGAAGCCATTTTGATGCAAACGTCGTTTATTAACGAACAATGAAAAATGCAAATTAATTATAACACGTCGATGAAAAGATGTAAGCTACGAACAGTTGAAGAAATTTCAAATCGTGATGTGATATTGCGAATAAGGATACGATACAGAGTAAGTTTTATAAGAATCAGATTTTAAGCAATTGATCAAACTTGATGAAATTGATATTTCGCTTACGATTGAATAAAGATATGTTTGTGTTGTTTGTCAAATGCGGATGAATAGTCCATTTCGTTCGAAAGTTTTTTCGCGAATTACTTGTTAAATTATACGATTGAAATATATATTGTTCTAGTTTTAAATGTATCTGTTTTTCTTTATTTGTCCGATTAATCGTTATCGACACAGATGTACGTTCAATTTTGTACCACTACACACGGATAAACAAGGAGTGATCGAAAACTCGATAGCTCCTGTCGTTTATAATTCATTGCAATTTTTTATAACGATAAAGATAAATTTCCATACTTTGTCAATACGTATGAAAAATTCTACGTAGTAATCTGTCAATTAGTTATTTGTCAATTCTATGAAGCAGGATTTTGAATTTACAGGATTTTAAAGTGGAAAAGAAATGAGAAGTATCGATAAAATTTTAACTGTTGATAAACTTTTTATGAGAATTATAAAAATAACCGTGAACTATTCTGATAAAATGATTATTACGTAAGTGTACAAAGGTTAGTTTGTTTCGTAGAATAATAATAGGAATTCTTGAAACGAACGCGAAGACAGAATTAAAGCTATCGTGTACGAATAACTGATAATTATCACGAAACAGTTGGTACTTACTTCGTCCACGAATAAATAGCGTTTGCCATTTTTTGATAATTGATAGTTGATGTCGGTTACTTGTTTTCGTAGATTAACAAAAGATGTAAATTTATTTGAAACAGGACGCAAATAAAATGACATTTTTCTGAATTTTTTATTTCAGTGATTTGTATTCGATATTTGTATTCGATTATGTGTCAATAATATGTAATATGAAATAGAGCTGTCGACATGACCTCAGCATCGTATCGTAGCCTCCGGCAGCAAATTCACGCATGTTCGATTATAAATTGCACGAGTTTAACGTGTTTGAAGTTTCAAAGATGGCGCTTGTGTTTAGTGGCAAATTTGAAATTATAGTTTTACACGGTAATTTCTTGTTTATCTATGTACATTTATTAACACGTATTGATGACACATCGTACTATGATACATTAAAAAATGACGATATTAACTTTTTTTTATTTTAGAAAAGAATCGATATTCAAATAATTCTTCGATATAACTTTAGAGAGAGATATATCGTTGATAAATCGTTTAACGTGTACAAATAATTTCAATATGTTGCATTTAAATTTACAAAAATACATTTGTGATTATATTATACACATTCGCGAAATATTAATCTGTGGAATTAAAATTATAAAAGATACATTTGCAAGTGTTACGATATAAAATTGATAGTTCAATGTTTTTTATGCGTTGCTAGAGGACAGTATTACTAATTAAAAATAAACTTAAACGTTACGTGAAAGAGACGCTATATTGCTTCGTAAGCAACATCAACGCCAATTCTAGTTACAGAACCATTGAGAAATTCTTCGAGTTCGTCGCGTTCTCTGGTTTCATCTCTTGAACGATGTAACGATCGTTTTTTCTTTTTTTCTGTTTTGTCTATTTTCTCTTGTTTGTCTTTTTCTTTGTCCTTCGATTTTTTCTTCTTCTTTTTTTCTTTATCTTCCGTCTAAAAGTATTGATTTGAAATTAATATTGATACTACTAGGAAGAAAGTGAAATATTATCAACAATATTTTACGCTTGATATGTACCTTTTCTTTGTGCCTTTTTTTCTCTTTTAACACAGGGCTTCCACCGTCAGAACTCATATGACGCACGCTCGTATTGTCGAGTAATTCTAAATGCACGTTAGAACTTGTTACGCTAACGTCTACGCTTTTATCGCTTAATTCCAATCTATCTTTTCTGGCACTATTACTGCTTACGTCTTCGCCACCTTCGGGACTTTGTCTCCACTTAGAATCGCGTCGAAGCCAGCTATCAAGTGCGTCCGAGTTGATCTCTCGTTGTTCGTTTGTGTCATAGTTGTTTGATATTTGTAATTCTTGGTCTATAGATGAAATAGAATCGCATTTCGTAATTTGCCGCGATTTCCCCACATTTATTTCTGTATGTGATAAAGTTTCGCGTTTATGTTTTTGTTTGCTTAGTGGATTTTCTGCTAATTTAGGTTGAATAGCTGTAGGTGTAGCTTCATCGGTCGATGATAAATCATCTTCGTATTCGGCAACTAAGGGATTTGCAGTTTCAGTATCACTGTCAAAAATTTGAAGAAATACTTGATATTACGAAACGTACAAATTTTAAAAACAATTTTAAAAAATTATGAATTCGTTTTTATTTGTATACTTTCGATCTACCTTTCGGAGTCTGGCTCTTCGTGTTGTACTTTTTGTGGTGAAACTTGACTATCTTCTAAAAATGATCGATCCAACAATCCATCGTCATCTGGTACAAAATCTTCGACGCTAGTTAACGGTACATTTGTATTTGGGTTGTTAATGCGCGTTGCTTTTTCTATCTCGTCTTCCTTTTTATTGCCAAATATCTTTGACATGAGCGATTGTGGTTTGCTGGTTGAATCTCGTCTGTCAGAATTTTCATTTAAAAATTCGATTATTTTAGAATCTATTTTCGAAATGTTTTGCGTTACGCTACACAGTGTTGATGTAATTTGTGAGTTTTTAACAGAAATTGCTTGATTTTCGGAAGTATTTGTAAAATTTTCTTTCTTTGATGCTATTTGATCTATATTTTTTACTGGAATAGGAGTTCCACCTCCTATAGGACCAGGCATGGAAAACGATCTTTTAACTTCAGCATTTACATTCGTATTGCCGTAAGAAGATAGTACGTTATGATTGCTTAAAGAAGACGTAACATTAGGGACTAGAATACTAGCAGAAACAGAATCGGCAAGTGCTCTTCTTCTGTTGACAAGATTATCTAAGAATTTGTTGTAATTGGCATCGTCGCTATCTTGAAAGAGATCGAGTTCTTGTATCGTCAAACGTGTCTCCTCCTCGTTAGTTTCAAGTTGTTTTAATAACGTTTCTTTCTGTAGCTGAAGAAAAGGAAGATTGAAGAATTTGTGCAAAAGTTTTAATCCAAAACCGTTTCTCATGGAGGATTCTGCGTATCTTACCTGCAAAAATAAAATAGAATAGAATGTAATGAATATGCTTGTCCAATTATTTATAAGTAATAAGATCGATAAATTTACTTGCGCTGTTCTTTCGTGAAATAAATCGATGAAGTATGTCACATGATCTGACGTAACAGTTCTGTGATGCGACATATCACAATGATTTCCTAAAACAATTACTGGAATATGGTTAGGAATTTTTGGAAGTTCTCTTTGTACATAATCGAATGTCCAAGATTTTGTAATATCCATAATAATGATAACACCATTGGTCCCTTTATATACATCGAGAAACTCTGCATCTAAAGCAGGCTCCTCGATTATATTTTCAGGTTGTGAATTATCCATTTTTAAACCTTCTAATTTTTTTCTACGTCGACCTTTATCTACAACATCCCAAACTTCAACTTTAACGATATCGTCGGTAGCTTTGTAATTCCACTGAATACTTGTTACTTGTATCTCTTCTGTTGGTATATATTCTTCTATAAATTTTTGGCCTTGAAGTCTATGAAATAGACAAGTTTTTCCCACATTTCTGTCGCCCTTTATAATAATTTTCACTACAAATAAAATTCTTTTCATTTAAAGAATTTTATTCTTCTTTAGGAATCAATTGTACTTACTGTTATATTGTACACCTTTGGCAAATTTTCTCTGTAAAGTTGTTGGCATAGATTGATGAGCTGGTCTGGGTGACACGTTGTTAACTCCATCTGACTTTCCAGCTAATCTTTTGAATGCAGAGAACATCGTATATTTCTTCTTAACAAGATTAATAATAATTTAGGACTTTTCCTTATTTTCGCGACAGATATCTAGACAAAATGGATAAAAAGAAATTGTAAACTTTTATATTAACTTGATAGAAAATATAATATATTTTAAATAAAAACAAACTTGAATTATTTATATATTGTTAAAATAATTAAATTTTTATGTTTTAACTTGTATAAAATTATTCGTGGAAATGATATTTTGATATTGATAAAGTATACGTGGAAATGTTCTTTAATTAAATATTTAAAATTCACAAACTCAAAAATATTATATAAATGATGAATTTACGTGATTAATGATTAACTAATGTTTACTGCATCGTAAAATATTGCATGTGTTATAATTATTACAGAGGAATAAATATGTTGTTCCAAATGTTATTATAATAAAATTGTGAAGTAACGATAACTTGTGCTTACTACATGTTATATCAAATTTTCCATATGCGTGGTAAGAAATAAAAATTTATTCGTGATACTTAACGCATCTGATAAAACTTAGGCAGCTGTCACTTACCAGCTGTACTTATTTTTTTGTTGCGACGTTGGCAACTATTTTATCATATTTGTAACATTTTTAATATTATAGGTTTAAAGTGATGTAAAGATAAATATTTAAAAATTCAATCAGCACGTGTTGCGTATTTTGCTATGTTATATAAATATTTATAACAATATAGTAGTAAGGTTGGTATTAATGAAAGCGGCACTTTTTAAAACTTTATCATATCTGATACACGAGTATGATTTTTTTTGTCAGGATTAAATATTAATTGATCTTTTTAAAATTATTTATTATAAATCGTATGTACGCTATTAGTATATTATATACAATTATATAAGTATTACATTAGTAAATTATATACAATAGATGATCGATATAAAAAATATTATGATTCATTGAAGTCTACTACGGTAGCTTGATAAAGAAGTGGTTTCAAATTTTCTGTTATTACACTATGTTGTTCTCCGTGTGTTATTGTTAATATTGAGCTAGCTTTTTTTAACGCTTCGATGGCTTGTTTTAGTTTCTTTCCTGAATATACCTGAATTTTTCCTATTGCCAAGTAAAGTAATCCAGTTGATGGATGAATTTCTCCGTAATACGTTCTGAAATATGAAAGCAATTTATTACGTTTTATTTGTTATTATGATAACACTTGAAGAATACTCATCTTACAAGTAGCCGTTAATAAGTCTTTTAGCATAAGACTCGGCTTCCTCCCAATGTTGTAAGTTTATAGAGGAGTCAAAAGCAGTTTGTAAAGTTTGTACATACTGTATATTGAGAGGATGTAAAACGCTTTCCTGTTTTGAGAGACACATTTTGCTTACATCCAGATCTGTCTCTTCTTATAAGGAAAGTATATATCTTCTACTAAATGAGCCAACTGTTATTACACGTAAAAAGGATACAGGCAATATTCTTCATGTTTTCTAAGTGATATGCGGTAAATTCGGATATTTCGTCAAAAGTCTTTTTAAAATTTTGTGGAAATTTTGTATTACAATTTTCACACGCATTGGCATCGGAAGAACAAGGATATGTACAAAATTTATTTGGACATGCTGCTGCTTCTGCCATCGGTTCTGGGCCTTCACATTTTTCACAGTTACACCAAAAATAATATGAACTTTGCAGTTCTGTACGTCTATCTTTTGTTGTCTTAATTACATCGATGTACGTTATTTTTATCTATGTATGTGTTTAAATATTTATATTTGCATTATATGTACAGATATTTATATTTACGTTATATTGTTAAGAACAATTTGATTACAATGTTATAAACGGAAATAAAGTTACCTGCAAAACTTACCTGAGATAAATCTAAAGAAGGCAGATCTTCTATTGTTTTAACTATTATGGTAATTCCCTCAAAGATTGCTACGGCATTAGGTTTGCAACTGTGATCCAAAATAGAAGGTGCCAAATAAATACCAACACCGATATTTGTATCGAAATTAGATATATTGAAAGAGTTGATACAAATTCTGCCATAAATACCCATTAATTCAGTGGTATTTGGTACAGGCATATCGCCCAGGAATTCATATAAAATACCACATAAGCATATAAAATGTTCCATTTTTTTCTTATCCCTTTTTATCTCAGAACAATCTAACAAGATAATATTTTAAATATCAATCGAATAAAAGTAAATAATAGTTTGTTCTTTTTACATGATATAAAAGCTTACGAGACATTAAGTCCTTAAATTTTCTATAATTTGTTTCGTTATAATATCCTATTTCTTCATCTCCACCTTGATTTAGTTTTATAATTATACGTGCCATGAGTCTTGCAACATTTGGTACTACCCTTGGTGAACATTTCTTTAAACTTGCACATTCTTTGCTATGTATGGGCCAAGATAGTCGTTGACAAGATCGATTACAATAATAAACATACTGACATACAGAACATTTAAATAGATTTCCACTGTAATATTGTAAATGAAAACAGACTGTTAATTAATATTAGAAATAAAATATATCATGTAAATTAATTAGTTTTTCTAAAAGTATTAAAAATTATACCTTTTAAAACAATGATCGCATCGTTGATTTCTATATTTTGAATAAAGAGTATAAGCAAATGGTTTGGCGGTTAAAATAGTGGTACCTTTTTTTATAAAGTTTTCACTTTTACTCATTTTCAAAAAAAAGTTTTTTCATTAAGAACGTTTAATTTAAAGCTAAGTGGAATGAAATATAGGTTAGATCGTCTGTCATATTAGAATCGGATCTCTCGTCTATTATAGAAACAATCAAATCGTACAAGAGATAAAATTTTATTTTTTCGATTTAAGGTTAATATACATAGGCATTGCCCGTGTGAAACCTATCCCCTCCGTATGCTACGAGAGTTCGTCTCTCGATGAGCCATTTCCTCTTTTTTTTTTTTTTTTTTT